GCTTATAATAATAATATGCACAGCCGTATATACTTATCGCGTGCTTGTGCGCGCGCTAGTGTAATTCGTGTTTATTGCTATTCCCGTCGGTCGGACGGTCCATTTAAAAGTGTATTCTTGACGTGTGTCCCCTTTGCCGATCCGCGCTGGTCAGTTTGATAGCATTTGCCGCGCGCACGCAACGCATTTCACGCCACGACGCGCGCCCGGAACGGATCCGAGACGATATTCAATCAGCCATCGACCGTAATAATAATAATAATAATAATAATAATATAGAGCATAATATTTACATAACATTATATTATATTATTATATGCGTTTCGCACGTCGGTCGGATATACGTGATAAGCATATAGGTAACAATATAATATAATATATTATATATAGCTGTCGCCATCACGCGACAGATTTTAGTTTTACGGGTTGTTTTTCTCCGTCCTCTCGGAGAGGAGAAGAGGCTCATCGCGGCTCGTTTCCGGCGCGCGATCATCGTTTTGGTCGTTTATTCGTAATTTCGCCAACCAAACCGTTCGAGATCCGTCGTGCGATCTGATATTATAACATAACATATTTACGATTTACGTTCTGCAGTATAGGTGTAGTGCGCTTACCGGAAGTCGAAAAGTCGCTCATATATATACACGTCGAACCACCGCCGTCCAATCGCCGTGGACCGCGAACGAGGGCTGGAACGCCGCCGCCGCAGTCTCTTGGCCGCAACTTAGTCGTCGTCGGATGATGTTTAGTAAGCACATAAAATAATATGATTTTGCCGTTGTTTATTATACCTATAATTTGATATTATGTTGTGTTAAACTGCTGTCATTGCGACGAGGGGATGAGCGAGACACCGTTTTTCGCGGAGAACGCGCGTGTGCGTGATATAGGACTCATATATATATATATACAGTACTTAGAGATACACAACTTATAGGGACCTACCCGCGCGTGACGTTTCGGACGGACGGACTTTGCGAAAATGCGCCCAAGGCCGCGGCGCGTCGTTTCCGTCGACCGGCTTTTGTTCGCGCGGGTTGGCAAAGACGTATAAAATAAAATTTGCTCCCGCCAAGGAAGTTGTACTGCGGTCGCCGAAACCCTAGAGTTTTGACCGCGATTMCCGTCCTCGTATTGTTTAATTTTAATCATAATAATTTATAGGCAAATAAAGTTATGTAATAATTCATAATAATAGGTTAAAATCTCATTAAAATAGGTAGGTAGGTACATAGTTTATTTGTACCGTGTTTATCATACTGTTATAATATAAAATCATCGTCGGACTCGTTGAATATTAAATAGTGTTGTAAAATTACATCGCCGATATGGACACGACCACACGAGTTACTATTCCGTATATCATTCCATTGTGCTAGTGCTGACTACTAACCTCTCGGCTTAGATACTTTGTTAAAATGTTTGAATATTGTATATACAATAATCGAGCGAAGTTCAAGTCGATGAAATCTTTTCGCGGCACTGCGATATCCCTTGATATTGGCTGTTACATACWGCAGAGATATTTTTGAAACTGCAGATTATTCCATCAACACGTGGGTAATCTACTAATTTTTTTCTTATTTTAAAAGGAWTTAGGTAACGTGGTTGAGGATTATATACTTATATAGTCATATAGATTAGCTTTCAACAGTTGCAGCAAACCGATATCCTATACGAATATCGCTGCGCCGTTAAGTGTACTATAGGTACCATATTTTGGGTAMTTTAATATACATGTCATTATGACGATCAGGATTATATTTAGCTTAACTTTTTTTACCTTCTAAAAAAATATGACAAAATCTCACAATTTTTAAGCTAGGTAGTTATCTTGCGCCTCCTCGCTTAACACATATAGATTCATTTAAAAAAAGAAKACGAATACGTTTCATAGATTACTTAGAAAGGTACATATTACGACCATTCCTTGCAACGTACACTATACGAGTTTCACTTATATGCGTATATATATATATAGGTACTATATACCCATTTTAACAATGAAAATATTATGTAAGATGAGTGAATTTATAAAATATCAGTTATCAACCCTCAATTGATTTATTGTGGCTATAAAATTGAATTTACAAAGTGCATACTTCACTCATCAAATAAAAATATCGAATTTTTAAAATCTAAGTTATACATTGCACTATACTGTCAGAACTGCATCAGTACTACATATACGTACTTTGGTTTTGTCCTATATTAGGAATCTAGTATTTATTGAGTGTGAAAAAGTTCAAATTTCGGGAAAAACTCAATGAGTAATACATAGATTTTCAATTTTTTTCCATGTATAATGAGTAATGATAATAATGATGTGCTTGATACTGGATATACATTATACATACCTAAAATTGTTTAGTTGTTTATTAGTAAATAACACTAGCTATTATATCAAACAAAAACCTATATAGGTAGGTTTTAAATTTTTATATTTAATCATTTTAAAACCAACAACATTTGTCTATCATAATCAAAATGTAACGAAGTTTTTCATCATATTGTGTATAGTATTATGTGTAATGTTCAATCAATGTCTAACGTCCAATTGTGTTTAATCTTGAAAAAATAGCGATGACTAAATAACACTAATATTTTATGCTTCGATTTTTAA